TAATGAACTTGTTTCAAGCAAAAGACTAGCTCTTGATATCATTACCTGCTGGAACTTGACATATATTATGTTGATGACTATGATCTCATATAAATGTATATTTGAATGCCTTGCATACAGAGATGCTAGTTTTGAGCCAATTGCACCCCTGGATGAAGATTGGGAAAAGGCCGAGATTCTCTGCAATTTCTTAAGGCCATTTTATGAAAGTAAGTAATACCATATTTGTGCGAAATATAGTATTGAGTTTGACTTTTGTTTATGAACTTAGACTAACTATTATGTTAATTTAGTTACCAATATTATATCAGGAAGCACCTACTCTACTGCCAATACTTTTCTTCCTTAATTGTTAAAAATTAAAGCACACCTTGAACAAGATATTACTAACCTAGATCCTTTTCTTTCTCAAATATTGAAACTAATGCAAACTAAATTTAACAAATACTAGGCAGATACTGGAAACATGCATTGTATCATGTTGATATTAGATCCATGTTTTAAAATGTCACTATTAACTCACCTATACAAGCAGAAAATGAATTTGTTATATAATGAAGCAGAGGAAAAGTTAGCTTCAATCAGATTGAAGTAAGAAATTTAATTTAGCTTCATTAGAGTGGGATAATATATTATTGCAAAAAATTCTAGAACTAACTTATCATAATATTTGCTATTGTAGAGTCACGACTATTTACCATTCAACTTATATGCGGCATATAATTAATACAGTGGTGTCAGATAATTCTTTGAATATTTTTTAGAATGATGAAATACGAGACTTTGATGCTTTTCTTAACACCAATCAGACTAGTGTTGAAAATGAATTGGATGAACTTGAGTAGTATCTTGCTGCCCCTCTTTTTCTCCATTCTTGCTTAGAGCCATTTGACCTTCTAGCCTGGTAGAAAACCAATGAACCAAAATATTCTTCTGTAGCATCAATGGCTATAGACATTCTTGCAATTCCAATAACCTCTGTACCTTCGAAATCAGTAAATAAGCTTTTTTAAGTTCAATTTATTTTTTAAAAATGAGCTAACATATATTCTATATTTAGGTATTTAGCATAGCTAGAAGAGTTGTTAATGATTATCAGTCGAATCTTGCCCCAGAATCAATCGAAATGTTAATATATAGCCAAGATTGGTTAAATAATGCGGAAAAATGGGGCTTGAATTAAACTAGTAATAATTTTTTTTCTCTGTATTTTTTTTTTTTTTGCATTGCAATTTTTTTTTTTTGCATTTACGGGTTTATATTTGGAACTGTGATTTTTTTTTTGTAATATTTTCTTTATTTCACACAATTATTTAGAGCCAAATAGTTGTGTCTTAAAATATGTGTTTATTCTTAGATTTTTAACTCAGATATTATGTTAGATGAATAAATATTAGATTCTTTAGTACAGTATATAGTTGCTTGTTTAATTTGTAAAACACGGTAGTATAGTTAGAGTTGGGCCCTGGCAATTTACGGGTTGGACCAGGCTTGTACCAGGCCCAGGTTCAGATTTTCAAGCCCGTAATCAGTTGGGCCAGGCCCAGGCTGGGTTTATAATTTAATAGGCCAGGTCTGGGCTCAGATGTTTAGGCCTGTAATCAATTTGGGCTGGGCTTATACTGGGCTTGTAATTTAATAGGCTGGACTTGGACTTCAGTAAACCCAGTCCAACCCGGCCCATTGCATACCCTAAATAACACTAATCGAGTATGGTGTCTATCATGTGACATTAAGATAGACAAGTACAAATAAATGTATTAATAATTGCATAAAAGAATTACCACTTAGAACCTGGCATTATAAAAATATGACAAAATAGAGTTCATTTAATAGATTTAATAATTTAAAAATGGACAAAGGAGAATTTAATTCTGTATTCTCTATGACCTGGATAGCTATAGCGAAAGATTAAAAGTGCTAACAATAGTGATACATATAGTGTTACGATCACACAACCATTTAACACTTTTATGATTAAGACATTATCTAACTATAAGAAAAATTCTCATGATTGCTCGAAAGAGTTTGACCATTATACAAAATAACAATTATAAGGTAGTAGTTTAAAAATATATGAATTAACTCAAAATATAGAAATAAATAAATACATAATAGTATTTCAATATGAATACATCAATAATAAAAGTCGCCTCTTTGGAGCAACACTTATTAAAATTGAAATGATACAGAGAAGATTAGCATGGCCCCTGCACAAAGATGAAAGTAATTCAGAAGGTGGTGTTTAAAAAGTCTTGCTGTAGTTCGCTTCAGAAGTTCTATTAGGACAGAAGGTTATATCAAATGCCAATAACTATAACTTCAAAGTTATTATATTAAAAATATTAACTAGACAAAGACTGTTCGATGGTTATCAAATTGTTGATAAACTGACAGTAAAGAGTTGATTCAGGTTACTGCCTAAAATTCGCACCTAGAATGCCAGATGGCTACATTGAATTAGCTAAACAATGCATGGATTTGGATCCACAAAAGCAGTCTACGATTAAAGTGTGAGAAAAAAAATTTGGTGATAGAAATTAAAGCATGACTAAGTTATAATGATAAGAAGAATTTCGTCATAGGTTATGAGAACTGAATAAGTGCTATTACACTTAAATAAATTATTATGCTGAGATAGAAAATCATAAAGACTTCTGGCTTGAAACCAAAAATTCCAAATTGAAAGAACTCATAGGGAATAAGAGATTAAAAATCTCTAAGAATTTAGAGAGAGATATCTGATGTAATAGTTTAATCACTGCTGGGTTAATAAGATAAAATCTAAATAAGTATTAAATTAAAAGATAAGTTAAAATTTTATTATAGCAAAAAACATATAAAATCGAAATAACATATAAACTATAAAAGAATACTTTGCTAAATGTATATTCTTTAAGATTTTCTAAGTAAACTCTTAATTGATTCAATTTTAAGATGTAATTTTGAAAGAATTATATAAAGAGAGGGAATAGTATATAAAGATTATTTTTTCAATATAATTTTTGCAAAAATTGTTAAGTTACTAATAAGAGTTTAAGAATTTGACTTGATAGTCAAATAGAAGTTTAAGTTTTAGATAAGATTAACAAACAAAATCTAGAATTTAGAAAAGAAGTACTTTAAGAATAAAATTAGAAGCAGACAAATATATGTACTAGCAAAATAAAAAAAGAAATTTATTAAAATTTTTTTTTCTACTATCACTAACCTAATCTAACAACACCCCAGAACTACTACCAATATTTCTATCATCTTTTTCTAATTCTTCAGGACTACTTTCTAATTCCTGCTCCAACAAGGCTTTATAGAGCTTTCGAGATTGTTCTTCTTCTTCTGCCCATGATTCCATATCTTTTTTAAATTCTTCTTCTTCTTCTTCAAACTCTTCACTATCATATCATTCTCTCAGTCTCAGTCTCTCTCTAACTACCTCTTCTCTTGCATTTATTATCTCTAAATATTCTCTTATATCATTTCTCAATACTATAAATCCTATTTGAAACTTCTTTTTTTTCTCTATCTAACTTGGCATATCTCTTTTCTTCAACTCTTAAATTATGCACTAATATTTGTTCTAGTGTTTCTATTGATTCTTTTTCAATTTTAAATTTTTCTTGTAATATTTCATTTTCTACCTCCAACCTTTGATTTTTCTTTTTCTCCTCTAATATTGACTTTATTAACCTAAAATATTAAATTAATTTTAAAATTTTATTTAATTATTTAGTTATAATATGTGTATTACCAGTCCTCTGCTACATCATTAATCTCCTTGACAATTTCTCTTTGTTTTCCTTTATCTAACTTTTTACTGTTATAATGAAAATATATTAATTACTATTATTTATTATTTTAAATTATATTCTTACTTTTGTTACTTAGAATATCTGTTTGAATTTCCTTTCTGTGTACAAGGCATATTGTTACTAACTTTTTTTTTTTTGTTGAAAAAGATTTTTTCTAAGTTTTAATAGATCAAAAATTTCTTTACAATGATATTAGAACAATTAAATTAAAGTTTAAGTCATGAGAAAAGAAAATTTACGATTAGATAATCAAGATACACAAATAATCTTCTTAAGAAATCAATTTTCAAAATTTGGTAATCATTCTGATGTGGACTACTGGTTAGGATATCACTCCGACAGCAGAGTAACCTGAGTTCGAAACCAGTTAAAGGGAGCTATCCTTTCTAAAGTACTGATCTCATATAAGGATACATGATGGCCCTTCAAGGAAATGATATATCGGAATGAGATTTTTTTTTGTTTTTGGTTATTATATTATCATTATTACTTATTTACTTATAAAGTATATTTTAGTTTTAAAAAAAAAAAAAAAAAAATTTTTAGATCTTTATGCCTGGTATGCATAAAATAGATCTAGGCGAATGTCACAGACAAAGAAGGATCATCAAATTTGCGCAGTAATCTCGTGACTTAACCGGATATAATATTAGAATTCTGGATCCACAGTTATATGAGGCTTGCCTGCCAAAGAATAGAAAGGATAGCCTACGTGAAATCTGAAGAAGAATTCTAAAAAGAAGAAACTAAGTTCAAGAAAGAAGATCTGGAAAATAGGCTAAAGAAAGAATTCGTTGGGAGAAAATTATTATTATAATTATAATAAGCCCCTTGATGTATAATAGCTTCACCCTGATTCTTTCATGATTTATTATATAAATCTTTCCTAAGCCCCTTGAGTTCGTTAGGATAGAATAATCTATAAAAGAGTTGGAAATTCACGTTAGTTAAAGGATATCCAAGAATTCATTATAATACCTTTAATACAATACCCTGATAATTCCTTTGAATAAAATAAATTATTGTCAAATCACCAACGTCACGCTAGGGTGCGGCCCAAACTAATTAAATCAAACATTAGTTAGGGTAATGTATGAAGATCATTAATTTCGGATTTTTTGATGGTTATATTTAAATAAAGTTAAATTCCCGATTAAAGTTATATTTCCGATTACATAATATCATTATTAATCAGTTTTTTTTTTCATTGAACAAATTGTCAAATAACTCATCAGCAGGTATATTCCCATATTCTGTTGATTCTTCATTTTTTTTTGCCATGCTTTTTCTTTGACTACGTGCAGCACTTAAATCCATCTCTGAAACAGAAGTATCCTTGATATTTACTGTTGACAATGTAAGTTTTGCTTTTTTTGTTTCATCAGACATATTTGAATGGCTTTTCAAATCAAACTTATTGAAAAGCCCTTCAATTTGCTGCTGATGAACTACAATATAATATATATGCCATTTTACGAACTCATATAATAGATGATAGTTATAAATTGGTTCTGAAGAATTTGCAAAATTTACAAATTCTTCAAAAAACTCTAGATCTTTTAGTGCCTCACATAAGCCGAAGTCCTGAAACTCTGTACCTGAATCAATATCATATTCAAGTTCTTGAATATAGTATTGTATTTTGGTTGTATTAGAATTCCACGGCATTTTCATGACAACTTTGGCATATGCAAAAGCAAATTCATGTCCGTTGTTGCCTCCTAGCCGACATATGCTCAAAGGTAAATGTATCCACATTTCTAACCATGTTTTAAGTGAATCAAGTGCCGCATCTATACCAGCAACTAATTCATCAACTAATAATTGAAATTCATCATCATTAAAACTATTAATAGCATCTAAAAGTTCATCTCCAAAGAAAGAATAAACATTATTTGTAATGGTTACAAGATTTTCAATCCATTGGGCAACTGTATCAGGCATTTCATGTGCTCTACGTCCTGGAGGAAGTGTAGTAAGTTCTTCATTAATTTCCAATATTCTAGGAGTAGAGTCAAATCCAGCTAAAAAATTCATTATAGATTCATATATTTTTTCGCCAAATTTTACCAAACATTCAACCTGAATTTTAAGTAAAGGGTCTTTAAGCCAATCATATAATAATTTCCACTATGAAGTATATTTTTTAGATGCATTTTTATGATTATTAAGTTTTGTTATGAACCATTCTACAAATATGTTTATTGATTCTCTTCTATGAACTAATTGTCTTGCCGCATGTAACTCATATAACCAATGTTGGCGAAGTAGCTTTTGAAACTTTGTATACTGTAATCCAGTAAGCTTTTTATACATATCTGATATATAAGAGGCTTTCATAATCATTGGGTTTTCTTTTTTACTTTCATCATACCCATTATGAAGATACCAAATTAAATAAAGTAAATTAAATGGATGTTTTTGTGTTAAAAATCCAATATCAACATTTAATTTACCAAAAGCAGTATTTTCAAAATGGGTCATCATAATATGTGCTGAATGCATACCACATGATATTCGAAATGATTCTGATTGTGTTCTATTATTAAATAGTGCAATTGCACCACCTTTGCATCCAGACATGTAAGCTGTGTTATCAGTCATCCAAGTAATACATTTTTTAGGATCCAACTTACAATTTGTACAAGTTTCAATAACTACACCAGCAACAGTTGATCCATTACAGCGTGAAAGATTTTTCATTTCTAACATGGTTACATGTGGATGATTTGCACTTGAATTCCAATAACTAAAACAAACTATAAAAATTTTACTATTACCCCATTTAGATTCGTCTGCCATTATTCCATATCCAAAGAATTGACTTGGTTCAATTATATTATATTGATTAGAAGTATATGCTGTTGTAATATCTTTATGCTACCCTACAAGAGTTTTTGCTGAAAACCATTGATCAGGTTCTTCACCAATTAACCATTCAACAACAGCTTTAGTACATTCAACAGCTGATCGAAATGATATTGAACCAATTTGACAAACTTTTGTTGCCATTTCAATTGTTTTGTTTGTATATTGTTTTTTATTTTTCATTAATTGTTATTGAACTGTAGCTTTTAATTTTCTTTACTTATTATAGAAGATTTGCGAGCATTAGATCGTACTTGTGATATATGTTGCTTGCGAATTTGTAAAAACTTTCCAATACGTCCATGCAATGACTTATTTTCTGCTTTGATTATAGTTAATTTATGTTTTAATGATTCTATAGTTTTATTATATTCTTTGGTTGCAGCTATACATTCTTCAATATTATGGCTTGTTTGTCTAAATGAATTTTCAATAAAGTTTATTGCTTTGTGTTGTAAATACTTCGAAAGAAGTTTACCTTCATTTGGGCCCTTTTTATATCTCATAGTATCCAATAAGAAGGAAGTTAATAATAACTCATCATGATTCATTTGAATTATAGTATTGAAGAGTAATAATCGATCTTGTAATAATTTTGAATTATCTTTAAAATCTTGTATAAGAATTTGAACAATCTTAATAAGCGAACTCAATGATTGTTCTGTAAAATTTATTATATTATTAGTAATAATACAATTTATTTGTTGGTATAATTCTTTAATTATAGGGCTAATATTAATTTCTTGATTAATTAAATCTATTAAATATTATAATTTATATTTAATTATATAATATTCATAATATATTAAAATTTTATAATTCAAATTCTTAATAATTACTAATTTCCAACGCTTCCTGCAATAAATCTTTTTCATTAAATACTATATCTTGAACCGAATTTGAGTCTTCAGTTAAACTATTATTGGTACTTTCTTGTAAAGGTTTTTTTATAGCACTACGTGCTTTTTTTAAATGTCGTCGCTGGTTATACTGCTTATTTTTGCTTCTTTTTGGCATATTAATTTGTGATATAAACAAAGTTTAAATATACGTATAATATTTATATAATTAATCATTAAATTAATCATTAAATTATATCTATTTATATATTTATAGCGATTTATCTTTATTTATTTATTATACAATAATTATCGAACTAATTTTACATTTTTTAGCACAAATACTTAACAAAAATAGATACTATTTTTTTTTAACTTGAAGCTCTCAACTAGCTGCACATGATAATAGAGCTATTTTTTTAAATAGTTTATTAAAATAATTGAAATATTAATAGTTATAATATAAAAATTAATTATTAATTATTTTATTAATTTTTAGTGAAAAATTTTAAAAAAAATTATTAAAAAATAGTTCTATTACCATGTAAAGCTAGTTTAGAGCTTCAGATTAAAAAAAAATTGCATGCACTTTTGTTAGATACTTATGCCAAAAAATGTAAATTTAATTTAATATTTAAATATATGGCCTGCAAAAAATCCGAAATTAATGATCTTTATATATTACCCTAACTAATGTTTGATTTAATTAGTTTAGGCCGCACCTTAACGTCACGCCTCTGGCGAGTTGCCTTATCACCTAAATTATATCTTTTCGTATATAAATTAATAAAACCCTACGATTCACCCCGTAACAATATTAGGATGAACCAACTTCAGGCCTTGATTCAGTCATGGCATATGAAGTATGCTCAATGTTAAAAGGTATTGCTGAAGATCAAAATATAACTGTAGTAGCAGTCATTCATTCACCATCCGATAGAATCTTTGAAATGTTTGACGAGGTTTTAGTCTTAAATAAGAAAGGAGAATTGGAAATTCTTGGAGATACAAATTCAATAATAAATGATTTCGATCAAAATTCAAGAGGTTGCATTAATTATAGTCCTGCAGAATATATAATGATGAAAGCATCTAGAGGTGATTCTGAAATTTTACGGAATGAGCCCACAAGACGAGATAAATTCATTTATGCGTTGAAGGATTGTGGCGCATATATCATTGATGTGAATTAGAACTTTTTTTATTCTTTAAAAAGTCTCTTCTATCATTGTCTTGTAGAAGTGATCACAATATCCCGAATATGATTTATACATTTTATTTATTACTCAATCGGGCCTTCACTCAGGTTTATAGGAGACCATTTCAATTTTTATTTGATCAACTACTTCATCTCTTCTGTGGAGTTTTTGTTTCGTTGGCAATTTCTAATTCTGAATACATTGGAAAACCACCAATACAAGTCTGTAAATTTACTCCATATATTATGATGAACTCTTGTACTGACTCTTATGATTTTATCCAAGTATGCAAAGCTCTTAAATCAATTGTTGAATCAATTGATAAATTTGTTTATAACTTATTTTTCTTTTTTGTTTAGAATGTTGGAATATTCGTGTCACTTGGCGTTACATTTGCAGGGATTAGCGGTATAATTTTTTTTTTCTGATTAAAAATCTACATGATCTGGAATGCATGTAATGGTCTTTTTTATAAATCATTTGCAGCTGGGTGTTCCACATTCGGCTACGAAATAATTGTTTATTGGCGTGATGCCTCGGCTGGAATGAGCGCAATTCCATACTTCTTGGCCAAAACTGTTGCTGATATTCCTCGAATATTTATCGCGGCTCTTATGTTTTCATTATCACTTATCATATTTTACCCGCTTCAAGCTAAATTTACCGACATATATGGTATCGTTCTTTTCACTTACATTTCTGCATGGATGATGGGTATGCGCATATTCGAAAATTATTGGCTTATGTTGATTAAAAAGCTGCTAATATGGTGTAAAAAAGTTATATTAATTACATTATTTTGAAATAGGTTATTTTATATCAATTGTGGTTTCAAAAGAACAGTTTGGATTGGTTAGTACAGGATTTGCACTTGCTTGGGGATTAGTCTTTAGCGGTGGATCTCCTCGGTTACAAGTTGTTGAAAACAACAATGGCTATAAACCTTTGAGATGGCTATGGGATGTAAGTATTTTTCCTCTTTTTATTGATTGTAATAAATCTAAATTTATTAATACATTATTATAAAGATTTCAGCACCACGTTGGACTGTTGAGGCGTTATACTTAAAAGAATTAGAACCTAGAATGTAATGAATTACATATAATTATCTAAATTATAATTTTATTCATTTTTTTTTTTTTTTTTTTACTTAAGATTAATTTTTTTAATAGGTGGCAAGAAATTAATACTGAGAAATTGAGATATCCATATAGTTTTAATGAGTATTCTGCATGTTTGAATTATATTTTGCGCATCGCAGTTGGATGGGCTGTACTCGCATTTCTTGCTTTAAAATTAACAAATAGAGATAAGCAAAAGCAGAATTTTAACATGAACCGAGTTTAAATATTTATAATAATAGTAATTATTTATAACTTTACTTATTGCGTATTTTAGCTTTTTTTTAAGTTTAGATTTTCCAACAATTTTGATATAATTTTTGCATAATGAATTTGTTCCATCTTTATTAAATGATTAATTATTGGGTATCCTAACTGGTAAATTTTAAATAAAAAATTAAATGCTTTACGATTGATTTCTTACGTCATCAAATTATATATATTAAACTAAAGTTAGATGGATAAGACCAATTTATAATATAAACCCTCAAAAAGGAAATGTAGCAGAGACGAAAAGTAGCCTTTATTAAAATCTGTGCATTTTATTTGTGTTTATCGATAGCCAATCTGTCGTTTGTGCTTCCCTTTTTTTTAAAGCCAAACATAAATTTCTGAGGATTCTAAAATTATAATTGAAAATTGGTGTGTTTAAGATGTTATCAATTGAATGTATGCTCAGTCTATATCCAAAGTAGATTAGTATCACAGAAAACTTCATTTAACCTAGCGAGATTATGCGAATCACTGCATGAGAGTAGTAGTAGCGTTATGTGATATCGATTCGCACGCATCGACAATCGAGATTTGCGTTACCTATTTAGGTGTAGCATATGACGCGGTACAGTACACACTTTCAAAGGAAATTGATGAATGAAAAGTTACACGATAACGTCATATTTAATACTTTTTGTATAGAATTTTGCGGGCTCTGAAAGTTTTTCTTTCGCGACAATGATCTTCAAATCCAAATATTCAGATATTGATATTCCTGGTGTCGGAATTTATCAATATGGAACAAGTAATCCGAATGGAATTCCTGACGATAAAGTTATATTAACTGATGGGTATACTGATAAGAAAGTGACCTTTGGCGAATTAAAAAGTAATTCTAAAAAGTTAGCTGCCGGATTACAAACAATTGGATTTAAACGTGGAGATGTTTTAGCAATTTGTTCACATAATCAGGCAAATAATGGGTTTTCTTTCTGTTACTAATGTTCAGAAATAACATGTTTGTTGAATTGAATGATATTTATTATGATATAGGTGAATTACCATACTGTGGTCTTTGGTGCAATTGCAGCCGGTAAATTCTAATTATTTTAAATTCATTGCAGTTTGAATCTTTTCACTAGTTATTTACAATAATCATGAACTCATATAAATACCTTTTTTTTTTTTTTTGTTAATTAGGTGGCATAGTATCCCCAGCTAATCCTTTGTATAAAGTGGATGAACTTGCCTTCCAATTGATTGATTCTTGCGCATCTATAATATTTGCACATCCAAACTATCTTTCCACCGTTGTTAAAGCAGCGGAAGAAGCCAATATTCCAAAATCTAAAATTTTTTTGTTTGGAGAAGAAGAAGTCAATGGATTTCAACCTTACTGTTCGCTAATTGGCGATCATGTTATTGAGCCTGTTTCATATACACCAGAAGAAGCTAGAACGACTACTGCCTTCCTGTGTTACAGCTCAGGGACTGTAGGAAAACAAAAAGGTGTAGAAACTACCCATACAAATATCGTTGCAAATGTGGCGCAGCTTGCTGTGGTGGATGATTCTGGAACAGATGACATTTTTATGGGAGTGTTGGTGAATATTTTTTACATAGTGTATTAATCTATTATATTGTAAAAAGTCAAATTTTTCTAAAATAACCATTCTATTATTATAGCCCTTTTTCCACATCTATGGATTGACCCTTCTTGTTTTCTTTACTGTCGTTGTAGTAAGTTTCTAAACATTATTTTTTTTTTGCATATTTTTATAATTAACCATGTTTTTATATCATTAATTTAAAGGGAGGTTCTACCATCGTTATCCCCAAATACGATGTAGAAAAATTTTGTTCTTGTATTGAAAAATATAAGATTAGTTACGCCCATGTCGTTCCACCAATCGTACTTTCATTGGCTAAGAATCCTGTCGTTAAATATTATAATATCTCAAGTTTGAGGATGTTACTCAGTGCGGCAGCTCCGTTAGGCAAAGAATCGAGTGAAGAATTTTCTAAAATTCTTAAAATACCGATTAAACAAGGATACGGTAATTTGTCTAATATGTTCTCTAATCTGAAACAATTTATAACTAATAATATTATTATTAGGGCTTACCGAAACGTCACCTGCAACTCATTTGTGCAGTTCAGATAACATCGTTGCAGGTATTTAATAATTGTTAAAAAGAAATATGATGATTTCCTGTTACCTTTTAGACATTTCATATACATAATTATTCTATAGGATCAATTGGTTGTCTCCTTCCGAATGTAGAAGCCAAGTTAGTGTCGGTAGAAGGGCTTAGTAAGCGATATTTTTTTTACAATCATGTTTAAATATCAAGAATATATATTAAAATTCAGGTTTAACTTCAGAATTAGGGCCTAATGAAGGAGAGATATGTGTTCGTGGTCCAAATGTCATGAAGGTAATTCTTGGCACGTTAATTTTTGACAATTAATTTTAGCTATTTTACTAACCGTGATAAAATTGTAAATAGGGATATCTTAATAATGATGAAGCCACCAAAGCTTCCTTTGATGAAGATGGATTTTTCCATACGGGAGATATCGCTCGTGTCGATGATAATAGTAAGTGATATTATACCATTAGTCTACTTTTTTTTTTTTTTTTTTTAGTATAATTATTGAATTATTTTTTAAAAAACAGTGAATTTTTTTATCATCGATCGTGTTAAAGAGTTGATCAAATATATGGTAGAGTATTAAATTGAAAAAAATTAAAATTTATATCCATTTCTTGATAAATATACCGTTTAACGATTATTTTAGGGATACCAAGTGGCCCCAGCTGAACTCGAAACAATTTTGCTTACTCATCCCGCGATAGCTGATGCAGCAGTTATAGGATTTCATTCTGAACGAAGTTTAACAGAATATCCAACTGCTTACGTTGTAACAAAACAAGGACACGAACAAACACGGGAGTTAAAAAGTGATATACAAAAATATATAAGTGAAAAAGTAGCGCCACATAAGAAATTAAGAGGTGGTATCTATTTTACTGATCAAATACCAAGAAGTCCAGCAGGAAAAATCTTAAGAAGGATTTTAAGGGAAAAGTTGAAGAAAGAGTTTGTTGATCCTCCGGACAAACAATAAGAAAAATTTTAACTTTTTTAATGTGACTAATGTAATTATTTTTTCATCAAGCTTGTATTATTTATTATTATTTATGCATTTAACAACTTACCATTTATTATGAATAATGAAAGGTGCTATGTAACAAATTTTTCATTAATAAATTGTTATAAAAAAAAAAAGAAATTGTATTGTTAGGTTTGGCAGTACAAGAAAAGAGAAAATACATACAGTATCTTTATAGTTAGTCATTACTGAAAGTTGGTCTAGAAATTAAATGAATATAATCAAAATTTATATTTTGTTTAGGGTATTAACATGAATATTCCAAGTCAATGATTGATTTGCTATGACATCGACTTTAAATAAATGACTGACTTCTATGAAAACTTTTTATTGTACCGTAAATTGCCGTATACAAGATCTGGAATACACTTCACCAATTTTAAAACCTATATAGACCTCGGGTTTCTTGTATGGGTGTGAATCTAATAATCGGGGTTACTCTATTTCTTTAGTATTTTTCTATTTGTATACCCCGGGTCTTTTACATTTTATCAAACCTTTATCCCATACTGTAAACCCGGGTATGGTACAAAGAGAGCAGTTTACGGTATTGAGTTGATCATCTTAGATTGATGTAGATGAACTTAAGAATTGGAAGGATGAGATTTCGCAAATAGTTCAAATTTCAAATTTGTTGTCCATGTTCTTTTAACAGAACCAAAAGATTTAAAATATGCCAAGAAATCATCTTTTCAAAAGATACAAGTTTCAAAAAGAATTAGCCTAAGTTTAGGAATAGCCTAAAAGAGCAATTACTTCAGAATATGAGCATTAGACTAAGTCTTAGAAACAGACAATAAAAGATCATTTCCCTTAGAAAATGAACATATGACACAGTCATTTGGTCACTGATAGAAACTGCCAAAGATTTCGCTTCTCATTCATATAAGGTTGCTACCATTCCAATATCATACCATATTATCAACTTGGTAACTGATTCCTTTAACTCAATTATCAGTTATGAACGATTGGATTGTGAGCCAATAATAATTCATTATCTAGGAGTGAAATTTAATATGTGAAATGACGTCCCTGTAAGAAATTTATCCGAATATCTTTGTGAAAATTCCGTTAATCTGCAACATGATCGCCGAATAATCTCCATGATTTAAGGTTATAAAATGTAATGTATAGCACGGATCGACTTTTTTATAGGGCATATTAAATTCGCTGCCAGATAAACAAGTTATTGGCTGCGTAACATTCAATAACGGTATTATCCGGTAGCTTACGACGACCGAACCAACAGAATGACACGAGTTCTTTTGGTGATTATTGCATCATATTTGAAAATAACATGTTATTCTGTTAGTACGATCATAGTAGGTTGCCGGATAAAAAACATTTTATACAGTATGCGCATTGGAAATGGATAAAATAAGTGACGCGTTTAATTCAAATTTGGTTTCTAATTTCAGAATTTTCAAATAAATGGGGGGTTTTTTTTTAAACATCCGTTTATTTTCGAAATAAGTTTATTTTGAAGTTTCCAATTCTTCCAATCCATCTACGATCTAATATAATTTAGTAGTTCGATACCAATCAACTATGACAATTTGTGGTTGTGCTGTAAGATATATTAAGGAATAGCACTAGATTTAAAGAATTCACGTGTCTAAAAAGTATCTTTTAATATTTTATTAATATTGCCTTGAAACTAAAATATACAATAAATGAGATATTCTAAGAGTAAATCTAAATACAAATAGTTTTTGCACCCAAATTAATATCACACAGTTCTTCTAAACTTAAGACCCACAATTTTAGTACCAATTTTATATTTTAAAATCATTCGTTTTCATTTAGTGATCGAAATTTTTTTGAAGCAATGTCCATCAAATATTCAAATTCATTGCTTTCTTCACATAAATGTCGGAACATACTACCTTTATCTTGAAGTAGGTTATATGGTGTATCAAATTCCGCTACTTTTCCTTGATCTATTGAATATGAAATTAGGAAAAGGGACAGTATTAACAATCATAATCACTATTGAGATTATAATTAAAATATAAAAATTAAATAACTTACCAAGAACTAAAACCTGGAATATACGAATACATAAAAAAAAATTTTTAGATTAAAAGTCCAATTCAAATTAGTATCATTATGACTTACCCTATCATAGTCTATTATTGTTCTTAATCTGTGAGCAATACATAACAATGTTGCCCAATTAAATTCAGTTCGAATAGTTTGTTGTATTTTAGCATCCGTCTCGACATCAACACATGCAGTTGCTAATAAACAAAAAATTAAACCAACATAAGATATAAAAAATTGTAAAATTCGGACTTAACATATCGATATAATTTAAAATGACAAACCTTCATCCAACACGATAATAGGCGACCTCCTATAATTCCAAAGAGTTAGACTTTTGGTCCACAAAATTGTCATATTTCTTAGTTTTAACATACCGTAATAGTGCCCTTGCTAGACATAGAAGTTGTCTTTGTCCTTGACTGAAATTTTCACCACCCTCTAAAACTTTAGCATATAATTTATCATCTAATCGAGCGATATAATCTTTCAAATGTGAACTTTGAAGAGCTTGCCAAATCTCCACATCATCGTGTGTTTCGAATGGATCGAGGTTGAAAAGAATTGTTCCTATAGATTATAATAATAAAATAGAAATGTTTGTTAATGAATGTATATTGTATAAAATAAACTTGATTAAATAAGTATATAAATAATTATTACCTTCAAAGAGAATTGGATCTTGAGGAATGATAGTAATGCGTGAACGAAGATCATATAGCCCAATTTTTGATATATCCATGCCATCCTATTATATTGTGACAATTAAAAATAGTCTTAAGACTAATAAAGAAACTAATTATTTTATAAATACCACAATAATAGAACCGCCAGCCGCCTCTATTAGTCTGAATAAACTTAATGTCAAACTAGACTTTCCAGCCCCCGTTCTTCCAACTATTCCAATTTTTTCTTTTGGTTTTATACGGAATGATACTCCCTATGTAAATAAAGTAATTTATGATAATGATAATTGGTATGTAACTTGGTATAAATCTATATCTATTACTCAACTAACAAACCTTCAACACTAATTCAAGGCCAGTTCTATACCGAGTTGAATAATTTTTATATTCAACTAATCCATTGTGAGGCCATGCAGGTGGAGGACGATTATCAGCTATTATTGGAGGTGCTTCACTAGGTAAGTCAATATACTAAAATATTTATAAATATATTGCATATTAAGAATTTATTAATTCATGAGAAAAAAATAAATGATATCATAAGTCTTAGTGGTTATTACCTCTTTTACTCTTTCCACAGAGACAATATTTGTCTAATTGGATCAAAATTGTAACAGAAGTTTAAATAATAAATTACATTTATAAAACGAACAAGGTATATTAGGTAAATTATTATACCTCTATTTCACAAAACTGCCGAACAGCCCAATTCAAAGCCTGTGTAACGCTGAGCGCATAAGATAATGATAAACCAACAAGTCCAGCATCAATATCATGGGTGGTTACGGACGAAATAACGGATAAAAGTGATGCACTAAAAATAACCAAAGATCCTAAATTTTTAAAGACCATATGTAAGATATAGATTATTTACTCACTATAAGATTTCACAAAATTAATAAATAAAGCAGAACTTACCTATAAATTCTAATCGAACAGCTAACCATCTATTACAAGAAACAGATGGATAATAGGCTTTTTGATTCTCATCCAATCGAACTTCATTTTCAGTAATGAACCGTTGTGATTGTTGATAAGCACGAATAGTCATGACACCTCCCAAAGTTTCCTGAAAATGAGAATAAATAGGCGACCTTGTTAGAGAATCCAACCTTTTTAATTCTCTAGAGGTTGATAAATAATACGATTGGATATATTTGTATATGAACACTTAAGTAGAAGGAAAGAATATATAAAGTTAGAATTTAAAAAATAATATTGCTGAAAGAAAATAAATATAAATCCTCACATAATGGAACAATAACCATGATAAATGGTGGTGTGGAAAACGAAATGACAGTTATTGTTGCTAAAACAATAAAGAAAGTCCTGAAGTATCCAGAAAATGTACGTGGAAGAACTTCATCAATGGTGTATTGATCTTTACTGAATCTATTTAGAATGCGACCTAAAGGAGTGGTATCCTATAAGTTTAAAAATTAGACACACAGTTAGTAATCGTATATAAAGATATCATAAGATCCGAATATAAATTCTTATTAACTTACGAAAAAAGACATTGGAGATCTGTAATCCGAGCATAAATATATAATTAGGATAATTATAGTAGTAGACCATACATAATGAGAATCTTAACAGCACATAAAAATAAAATTCAGTTAAAAGATTCGGACATACCTTATAATACTATTCAACATTTTTTCATGCAAAATACGGGCGGCTCTGTAATGAGTTTAGAAGGTAAATAATCTATCGAATAAGAATAGGTATTGTGTCTCATATATCATTATAACTCACCGAATAGCACAAAATACCCAAAGTGTTATTGTTTGTCCAATGGTCAACAGAGAATATGTAAGGCCAATGGCGCAATATATCGACAAATAAAACAAATGATTGTTATCATTTTGAGAACTCCAATATTTAAGGAATACATTCATGGCTAAAAATATATATGAAATTATTGATTAATGTAATAGAAATTGAATGTAACAATTACAAAAGATGATTAAATATCAAGTTACAGATTTGAGCGCCTTGAGAGACAACCAACATGAACAGATAAAACAGGACTGAAACAAAAGAGCATGACTTCATATATGCCACATAAACTTGCCATGAAACTTTGCCTTTGATAGTGTCTTCATTTAGAATAAGAACGTTCTTGCCATGCTCAGTGTCAGGTTTATTAGTACTAGGAGTAAGATAAGAAGATCGTCTATGTAAACTCATAACGCTGACTCGTCTTTCCCGTGGACTTCGAGCAGTTTCTTCAGCTGTATAGTCAAGATTTACTTCGTCATTTTCATAAGTTTCTATAGTGCTTGGACTTTGTATTTCCTCAATATCTTCACTGGACAATTCCTGACCATATTCCATAATTAAGTTGTATAATTCTTTTTTT